CCCCCCATCCTCCGGGCCCAGCCTAGGAACCTGGGGCGGGCAGGGGTTGTCAGCGAGTCCCCTGGCTCCGCTTGGCAGAGCAGGGGCGCAGCCGGCCAGAAGGGCTGGGGCACTAAGGTTCCCGCCCTCCCAGCCTGCAGCAGGGAAAGATGTTTTTCTTCATCGGCCTCACCATGGCCACCATCCAGGGCACCTATGCCCGGCGGATTAGCCCCGGCGGGGAAATTGCAGCTGTGAGACGGGTATGGGGCGCCCCTGGTGGGGGTGGGGGGTGGTCTCCTGAGCTCTGCTGGAAGCAGCAGGAGTGGGGCCTGAGGTCCACTGTGTCCCGCTGCAGGCCATCCTGCTGCTGGTCCCCGCCTTCCTCCTCATCGGCTGGGGGCGCTCGCTGCCTGTGCTGGGCCTGGGGCTGCTGCTCTACTCGTTTGGTGAGTGGGCCTGCCAGGGCCAGCGGGCGCGGCGGGGCTGGTGGCCAGATCCCTCCAGGCCACGAGCCCTCTCCCCTCTGGGGTGACGGTGCCTCGCTCATGTCCCCCATCAGCTGCCGCTGTCGTGGTGCCCTGTCTGTCCTCCGTGGTCGCCGGCTACGGTGAGAAGCCCTTCCTAACCAAGGCCATCGGGGAGGGGGGGAGCAGCCAGCAGGCACCTGAGGGCCCCTTCTCTCCTACAGGCTCGCCTGGGCAGAAGGGCACCGTCATGGGGACGCTGCGGAGCCTGGGTGCGCTGGCCAGGGCATTGGGGCCCATGGTGGCCGCCTCAGGTGAGGCTGTGGGACAGCACGTGATGTGCCCTAGGGAGCCAGGCCTCGAGGGCTGCTGGGCCCTGATGGGGCCTCCCTCAGTGGCCTGCATCTGCTCCTGCCTCCGTTCTGGCACTTGGGGCGGGTGCGGGTGCGGTGGGCCCACGTCATAGCCCGGCTGTCTCCCTCTAGTGTACTGGCTGGCGGGCGCCCCGGCCTGCTTCACCGTGTGCTCCGGGCTCTTCCTGCTCCCCTTCCTCCTCCTGCGGCCCCTGCCACCTCCAGCACCGACACTCAAGGCCGAGTAGCAGAGCCAGCCCCACCCAGGCTGGAGGAGCCGAGGCAGGAAGTCAGAAGCCACCCGGCCTGCTGGCCCGACTCCTCCCTTCCTCCTGGGGCCCAGACAGGAATCCCGGGGCCTGCAGCCCAGGGGGCGCTCGCAGCCCTCCTCCTGCTGGACTGGACGGCCCTGCCTGGTGCCCACAGAGCAGGGTCAGGGACTCCAGATCTTTCCAGGCTTCCGGCTTTTTACTCTGTGGAGAACAGGCTATCAGCCAGGCGTCTGGATGACAAAATAAAGCAGCTGTTTTATACCAAGTGCCTCCTCCCAGTACACGGCGTCCCTCGGCCTCCACCACACCCTGGGGCCCCAGGCCCCGCAGCAGCAGCTCCACTGCCCGCACGCGGTTCCCTCCTGCACGGGGGTGGGGGAGGGGGGTGAGTCAGGTGCAGGACCCTCGCAGACGGTCAGCAGTGGCAGCTGACACCTGGCAGATGGAGGAGGGAGCCTTCTGCTGGGCTGTCCCCGTCACAGATCGTGGCCCCACCTGCCTGCTCAGCCCCAGCCAGGCTGACTGGAGAGGACACGGGACTCAGCGGTCCGAGGGCCGTGCCCAGCAGCCCCAGGGAGGAACAGGCCGAGGGGCAGGGCAGCTCTGGGTTAGAACGTCCTCCCAGTCCAAAGTGGCAAATGGTGTCTCCAGAAATCAGACACGTTGGGGAAGAGACAAACTCCTGGAAGTCCTATTTTAAAGAAAAAAGGATTAAAATGTAAAACCGCTCCCCAGGCTCAGACAGGATACAGCTTGAAGAACTTTATTTGTGAGTAAAACGTGTTACAATGAAGAAAGGACACAGGGCCTGCCCTCCTGAGCCTGTGTCCCTGTCTGTGGCTAGACTTCATGTTGTGATACAAAGAGTTAAAAGAAACTACAAAAGTGAATTAGTCATTGCATGTGTGGGGTAGAGGGAGGGTCAGGGAAGAGTCTGTTAACGCAAGGAGGGTGGTGGGGAGGCGGAACACACTCGGCAACAAATTGACACAGAAGCAGCTGCTCGCCTGTTAGCTCCAAGCGGAGGTCAGCGCCATGCAGCTGGCCTCTGTCCTGCGTGGGTGCTCGGTTTTGGAGACCTGAGCCCACGTCCAGCTCCAGATCCACCGTGGCCCTCCCGCCTTCCCAGGGGCCTGTCTGGGGTGGGCAGGCTGGCACCCAGCAGCTCCTGGAACAGGCGCCCTCGAGGAGCCAGCGGCTCCCTGCTGCCTCCCAGGGGGTGGAGGTGAGTGCAGGTGAGCGAGGGCAAGTAGCTCCGTGAGTGCCGGCTCGGGCTCAGGAGCAGCGGGGGCCACCAGGGCCGACTTCCGGGAAGAGCAGACCCTGCTCTGAAACCTGCCCCACACCGGTGCGCGGGGCACCACCGCAGGCTTAGAGAAAAGACAGCGTCGCTGTTCCCGTTCACAGCAATGCAGAACTGCCAATACACTGGAGAGACTTCTCTCACTGAGGTGCCCTCCCGAGGACAGGCCTGGAGAGACCCCAGTGATAAGACCGAGCCCTGGACCGGGTGCTGCCGGGCGGTGACCGGGGAACCATGCATAGGTTGCAAGGGTGTACGGGCCAGGCTGCTGCGGGGTCCCCACGCCGCCTCTGAGGCCACCACAGCGCCCTGGCCGCCGGCAGGCACAGGGTGTTGGCACAGGACCAAGGCTGTGTGTTTATGGACAGAGTGAGATCGCTGAGCAGGTAAGGCCAGCAGGAAGCCAGGAGTGAGTCAGTCACCTGAGACCTGGGGGAGGGGAGCCTAGCAGGGACGGAGCGTGGGTTACTGGATGACAGAAGGAGAGCAAGAGAGGTCAGGCCAGAGCTGGCAGGGCCTCTGACTGTGCAGCCAGACCCTGCCTGGACGCCCCAGGGGAGGACCCGAGGAGCAGACAGACGGGCACAGAGGTGGACACAGGGCCACGCCTCCCTGGACCTGAGGTGAGGCCCGGGCGCCAGGGGAGGCTGTGCGAGCACAGGAGGTGAGCTTGGGCGGTGGGGAGCGCTAGCTATGCGGAGGGGGCTTTGCATTCCATGACACAGGGAGACAACACGAGACGGCGGTGTGTGCAGGACAGGCCTTCAGGAGTCGCTCTTCTTCTTGCTCTTCTTCAGGAAGGAGGGGGTGCGGAACTTCTTCTTCTTTTTGGAAGGGGACTTGCCGGGAGACCCATCGCTGCCTGGGTCTGCAGCAGCCCCCTCAGCCGCCGGGGAAGGGGCTTCTTCAGCCGCCGGGGCCGGGGCCGGCTCAGGAGCCCAGCCCCTCGTCCTCCTCCTTGTCCAATGTCGGGAAGCCAGGCGCTTCTGAAGGCTCATCGGGGGACAGGTCAGGGAGAGTGGGCTTAAAGGTGGCAGCATCACTGTCGTCTCCAAAAACAGCATCTTCCAGGTCTAGTGGGCGGGTAGGAGAGACGGGGTTAAAGGGCAACTGCCCAGCCCTCAGAGAGGGACCTCAAGGTGGGCTGCGCCCTGCACAGTAACTGCCACTGTAAGGACATCAGGGCCTTCTACCAAGACAAGGATAAGGAACTTTAAATCGTGTCACTACTTCAAGGCTGGATGGAGCCCATTGTACCAAACACAGGCTCCATCTTGAGGGGGGGTGGGGGTGGGGGTGTGGGTCCTGGCTCCCTCTCCTGGAAGCGTGCCCTGCAAGCAGAGGACATTTTCAGTGCAGGGTCCTCCTGACACCCTTGAGACGAGGTTTGCTCTAGGCCCCTAGGGCACCTCAGTAGCCCTGAAATTAAGCCTACATTTGGGTCCACACACCTAGTTTCCCCCAAGGGAGCCACGGAAAACATGGCAGCCCATGGGCGCACAAGTTAATAACTCTCGACCTTGTGCATCAGCATCAAATAAACTGAGCCTAGTTTAGAGGGAGACATGAACCATCAGGCCAGGGAGAGGGGCAAAAGCAAGCTGTTTAACCATCGGGAAACAAAGCACACTTGTCTTCAGGAGCCTGAGGGCCGGTCTGTGGGGAAGATTCCCATCTCCCGGTTGGGGTGGGGCAGACCAGGTGAGCAGATTTTCTAAAAACAGCCTACGAGGTTACGAGCAACTGGCAGGTTAGGAGCACCAAACCTGCTCATACATCAGCAGTCAGCCGAACCGCGGGAGGCGACGAGAGGCGAGCTGAGTGCCGGGGACAAACACTGAGGGCTGGGCCCTGGGAGATGCCTGCCCGGGATCACGGCCAGGGCAGGGGGAAGCGAGGCATGTCTGCACAGCGGGCAGAGGTGGCCTGTGGGTGCCCAGGGGAACCTTGATCATTGGACCAAATGTCCTACTAAAAAACAGCACTGCCCTGGCCGAGGTGGCTCAGTGGACAGAGAGTCAGCCTGCGGACTGAAGGGTCCCCGGTTTGATTCAGGTCAAGGGCACATGCCCAGGTTGTAGGCTCGATCACCAGTGGGGGGTGTGCAGGAGGCAGCCGATCCATGATTCTCTCTCATCACTGATGTTTCTATCTCTCTCTCCCTCTCCCTTCCTCTCTGACATCAATAAAAATATACATATTTTAAAAATAGTCCAAATGTCGCTCTTCTGCCCCCTCAGGTTAAGCTTAAGCATGAAGCTTAAGCAGGGGTTCAAACACATGCAACCACATACAGCAGGTGGCAGCCCCACCTGTCTGAGCCTCATCTAGACTGTCTGCCCTCCTGGCACTCACGAGACCCAGAGCTCTGAGCACGGCTGTGTGGCCCCTGGGAACCCCGAGGGCAGGCTGCTCCTGCAGCTCGCAGGTGACCGAACCCCTTCCGGGAAGGCCACTGCCCAGAATGAAGGGCTGGGTACAAAAGGGGGGGCGGGGGGGAAAGACAATGTTTTTATTTTGATTAAACGAAAAACAAAACGTAGCAAGCAACAAAGAAGCAGAATGAGGAAGCGCAGGAAGCCGGCAGTACTTACTATGGTAACAGGTACTCCTTAGCACATCCTCCTGCTTGCCACGCAGCCACAGAAGAGAAAAGCACAGAGAGAGAACCTACGCATTCAGTCACAGCACCAGGTACAGGGGAATGGCCGAGCCATTCTTGTGGACACAGAGGCACAGGCTCCCGACAGACATGGGAAGCATGATGTGTAAGACCGAGGGACAGACACGCAAGCCACGCCACAGACATGCGGTGGGTGGTCTGAGAGGCCGACGGAGGCCAGTGCTCTGCATGGACTGATAACATGGCAGTCAAATGACATCCTGTCGCTCAGACACCACAGAGGACGTTTCCGGAGGTGGAATCGAGCACAGGAAGGTTTAGGAAGTGTGCAAAGAGGGCAAAACTGACATCATCAGTGAAGTGGGTGCCCATCCCTGAAGGCTGTCCTCCCGCCCGTGACATCTCACTAACAAGCCTGTTTGGCCTCAGGTTTCCCAGGACCAGGCCAAACAGGAGCACAAGAGGCTGGGCCCAGCAGCACCCAGCACGTGCTGTGCTGGTTCCCACGCAAAGGCACACGTCCTCACTAGTGTCAGCCGCCACTCCTTCCATTGGGCAGAACACGCAGCCCACTCCCCCAGCCCCGCTGTGGACACCCATCCACACAGTGCCATGCGCCCTCCCGCCCTGGGGCAGCCTCGCCCGCCCCGCCCAGGACTCACCTTCCTCCAGCTTGACGGGGGAGCAGGGGGCAGCAGGGGGCTCTGGACTGTCTTTCTGCTCTCCAGTCTCATCCAGATTCTCTGCAGGGGGCAGAAGGTGAGAGGGCGTGGTGAGATGCCACCATGAGCCCGCACCAGAGCCCTCCCAGGGGAGTCGGACCCCCTCTGGGACCAGCCTGAGTGAGGAGGGAGGAAGCATGTGCTGAGGAGCACTCTGCCCTTAACCAAAGGCCTGGAGGACAGAGGCGCTCACCTGCGGACTTGCCCACGCAGAACCTGCCCTGGCGCGTGGGCCTCGCCGTGAGCACTCACCTGGGGGGCCCCTGTGCTTGCGCTCCACCTCCCTGCGGTACTCCTCCAGCTCACGGTCAGTGAGCGTGTTGAAGGGGTTGGGGCCTGTGGTGCTCACGATGACGTGGGGCTGGTACTCCTTCTCAATGATGGCCTTGGAGGCTGTCACCAGCTCCCCCTGCGGACAGAAGGGGTGCTGGGTCTGCAGAAGCCCTGCCCAGGACCTCCTCCTCCCCGGCCAGGCTGCAGGCAGGGTGGGGCGGGCAGCTCTCCAGGGGCACAGACATCCCTGAGGGCTAGGCTGAGCAACAGCCTTCAGGGGCAGAAGACAGAGACACACGATTTTGATGCAACAAAATAAATGTAACAGGAGGAAAGAGCCCTAGAGAGCCCTCAGGTCTCAGAAGCAAAGGCAGCAAAGTGCAGATGGAGCACACAGAGCACCTCGAGGACAAGCCCATGTCCTCGCTGACAGGCAGGAAGAGGAAATGCACAGATCACAACACTCAGGTCAGGCAGGAGAGACCTGCTTCCATTCTAGGAGCACAGGCAGGTTCTGTTCCTTTGACCTTGAGAAGAAGAAGATGTCCCTGGGCACCAGCATCTGGGGAATTTGGGAAAGAGGATTTGTAGGAGAGAAAGAAAGCAAAGCCTATGAAGCACCGAGTGGCCACAGACCAGGAGGCGGCGGGGGCCCGGAGGGCGGGCAGCCAGCGGGCTGAGTGTGACGCCACCGCACATTCCCTTGCCCGGCACCGCTCTGTGCCCCGCTCAGCCTGGTCGGCCCCAAATGCTCCCCGATGTTCACCTTGGAGAAAGCTAACCGGAACTCATGCACATGCCCAGTACTTAACGAGAGCTTCCAAAAGTAACTGAAAACAGGAGAATCCAACGTCACTTTCACGCCTGCCGGTCCATCTGCGCTCTCAGCGAGGGGCGAGCGTCAGAGGCAGCCAGCATCCCTGCAATGGGCACTGGACACAGAGCCAGACCGAGGCCGGGGGACCTGGGCTGAGCGGCCCGGTCCCATGAGCTGGGTAGAGTGCCTGGAGTACTCCAGACTGACCGCTGACAGTGACACAGGCCCCAGGACACAGGAAAGGGCCTGTTATCAGCTTGTCATCAGGTTCAGGATGACCTGGGAGTCGGTTAGCCCTCGTTCCGACTAGCCTGACCCAACGCCGCCGGCTTTTCCTTCAGAAGCAGCCCTGCCTGGCCAAGATGGGGACTCACGTCCTCCTCTGCCACTCGGACCCGTGGCCCGAGACACGCCCTTTCCTGTCCACAGGCCTGTTACCATCTTCAAGAGGAGCCTGCCGGGCGGGCCCCTGAGGCCCACAGAGCACGGACGCTATCATCTACGCAACCTGGCTGGTGCCTGTGCATCCTGGTAGCACTGCAGTGAGACAGGAAGGTGATGTGAGCTTTGAGAGAAACACTGTCACTCATTTCAGTCCAATGTTCAAAATCAGTAAAGAAAAAACAAAACCAGAAACGGCCACGGAGATGCTTCCTGTCCAGACCCCCTGCCCTCAGGTGCCGCACAGCTGGTTCCCGCCCGCTGGCAGGGGCTCCCTCCTCAGTGAGGCCAAGCCGGAGCTAGGAAAAGGGCGATGCCTGAGCCGCAGAGACAGGCCCTGTGGGGAGCAGCCCGAGAAGTCGGGGCTGAAGGGGCAGCTCTCTCCAGCAGCCCATGTGGGGGCACTTGCTGTGCTCCTCCCGTTTGGCCCCACTAGGGCTCTAAGCCTGTTCCTCCTGGCACTGGGCTGAGACATCAGGTTTTCATCTGAAACATCTACACAGATTTGAATTTATATTCCTTTTTTTGTTTGTTAATCCTCACCCGAGGATACTTTTTCCCACTGATTTTCAGAGAGCGTGGAAGGAAGGGAAGCAGGGGAAGAGAGAGAGAGAAACATTGATGTGAGAGAGGTGCCCTGACCAAGGCTGAGAATCGAACCTGCAATCCAGGGAATTGAACCTGCACGCGCAAGCAGGTGCTCCAGCTACTGAGCCACCAGGCCAGGGCTAAATGTACATCTTAGTGCTGGGCCTGCACACACTAGGTGCTTACCACCAAGTGCACACAGGTGCGGCAGAGCAGCAAGTCTGGGCTGCACACCAGAGGGCAGCAGGACAGGACTAAGTGCCAATCTTCACCCCCATCTCTAACGGCTCAGTTCACTGGGAATCACATCCAGGTGGCAGAGTGACTGCCAGCCACACGCTGGCTGCACAGTGCCGAGTCAAGAGAGCCCTGGCTGGGCTTCCTGTCCCTTTGGGCACCAGAGCACAGGGTGTGGCTGGCGACTCGCTGCCCCTTCTTCTGCCAGAAGACAAAGGAGAGATGGAAGCAAAAGAAAGTCCTTCCAGAAAAGCTCCAACTTCCTTAGTCACAAACGCCCGTTCCTCAAGCTCTCGACCGGGAAGCGAGTCTGCACGCTTGCCTGACCGGGAAGAGGACGTTTTTAGGACATTGACACACAGTCCTTTCCACCTGCTCAAGAGGGTCAACTTGCCAGTGAGCAGCGCCACCTCTAGGAGCACCGTGGTCTGTGCTTTGTGGTCCGCACACAAAGGCGTGGCCACCACGCCAGTCAAGGACAGAGGAGTCAAAGCACATTCTCACCATCAAAACGAAACCTGCTGTGACGGGAAAGAGCAAGGCTGGGGATTTGAGTGCCCGGAAGAGGGGCGGGGAAAACAAGCTGGCCCGGAACCTGCACAGGGGCACCACCTCACTGGGCTCGGAGCCGAGTGGCTTTCTCTGCCGATCCTGCCTGGACACGGTGCTCACAGGGTCCACTCGGGTGCTGGCACAGCCAGCTGGAGGGGCCCGTGGCTACGCTCCATGAAGCATCCTCACAGGGAACGGGGATGCACCCCCAAGTCTGAGCACTGCTGGACAGAGCCAAACAGAACTGCGACGGATGAGGAACTGCCAGAGCAGCAGCCTTAACACAGCGGACGGTCTCCCTTCCAGGCAGGCAGCCCTAACGACACAAACAGGAACCACTAAATGCAATCTAAGCCAGAGAGCTTGTCCAAACCTGCTCTGCTCCATAAGCCCCCGGGGCTCACGGACTTCACACACCTACACACACCTGAGAGAAAAGAATGAGAAACTAAGGTCACATAGGATGGAAGCACGAAAAACAAGCCAGTGGGGCAGGAGGCCATCTCTCCCATGCTCTGCGAGGCTCCTCCAAGAATGGTCGCTGGACAAGGGAAAACAGGACCCGCCGAAACAATACATAAATATGCAAAATAATGCCGTTTAGCGAGGGTTCCAGACAGGAATACAGAGCCCTTGGTGCAAGCCTCCTTCTCTCTGGCTCCTGGGGCGTGGCTAGATGACACCTGCACTCACTGGAGGAGTGTAACTGAGACACATTTCCTCTGGACACCGGGCGAACACCTGAGGCCTCACCCTCTGCCCTCAGGGCCTCAAAGCTTAGAACAGGCGAGCCTCCACCTGGCACGGGACATAGGGTGGATTTCCACCTACTGAGCACTTTAGGTAGGCAGGTACACGGAGAACGGTACTTTGGGGTTTCACATTTTCACAAGTCTTTGCCCACTTGCAACATTTAAAAAATCTAGGATTTTTAAGGTCAAAATAAATACATCGCCTCAACCGGGCTGACCAGAGACTGCCTTGCTTTACTTCCTGCTCCCCTGAAAGGATGTCTTTCAATCGCACCCCCCATTGCACGTTCCTTATGTTTTCGGTCACAGCTGAGCAGGCAAAGGGAGCAGGTCACACGGAAGCATCCGGCACTAACAGAGTCACATGCAGAACCTCTGAAAAGCACCGTCACGATGCGGAGACACACCCACTCCTCCCAGCCAGGGCTTCCCTACAGCCCACGGCAGGCAGGACGGCACCCTCTGTCCTCTCACCAAGGAGCTAGAGCCCGTGTGCGGCTCCGTCGTAACCGGGACAATGCCGGCAGGAGCAGGCAGGTGGGGACAGGCAGGCAGGAGGCAGCGCGAGCCGACAGTAACTACGGGCAGGAGGAGTACCTTTCTAACAGGGAGAGATTTGGCTGGACTAAAGGTCTGCTCTGTGAGCCCGAGCCCTTCGATTGTCTCCGTGCAGTCAGACAGGGGTGCATCCTGCAACAGTAAACTGAGTCAGCAGAGCCCCAGGCCCAGCCTGAAGTACCGAGTGCACAGGATGGCGCTGCTGAGAGCATGCAGCAGGGACGGCGGCGGCGCCAGGGAGGCAGCGGGGGTGGCGCTGCCACGTGCAAGCCCAGTCCCCAGGACCAGGACCACACCTGACCAGTCAGAAGAGGCGGTGAGAGTCACCTACCCTGCAGTTACGTGCAAGGTTTCAGAGGCAACAACGGACACAATTACCTTCAAGGGGCCCAGGCACTGTCCCTTTATAGAAACGCGGGTCACTGTGGGCCACAGACAGGCACCAAGCAGCGCCCTGCCGCAGGCAGCAACGTGGACGGGAATAAGCCCGCCGAGCCCCGGAGCCCAGCACTTTACACGGGGTGCAGCACTCAGACCGGGCGGGTGGGTCCCCGGGCACCGAGCCACCCGCACAGGCATGCACTGCACCGAGCGCTGGAGGGGACACGCCCCGGGCGTGCTCGTGCTTGGCCTACAGCTCAGGGAAAAGTGCCTGTGATTTCTCATCATGAAGGTTTTTCACAAAGACTGCGTAAGAATAACAAGACTAATTCCCAGTTCTCACCTGGACGAGGCTTCTGTCCATCACTACACCACACAACACCTGTGACTGGGGGCCAGCCGTCTTGATGTCCTGCAGGTTCTGCTCTCGGATCTGAGGACGGCAACAGGAGGAACACATCAGCAGCAAGCCCACACCTCGCCCGCTCGGTACTGCCTGGGTCTGAAGGGAGGAAAGGCCCATTCCTACGTCCTTCCTCTTCTGGTGACATGGGCAAGCGCTCACTCTAGGGCACACTCCCTACGTGTCCCTCTTACTGGGACACTGTGAACAGCCCAGGGTGAAGGCTGCTCACGGGCCACAAGTGCACAGCACAGGCGCACAGAGGGGCTGCAGCTGCAGTCATGAGGCAGCAGAAGTCCTCAACGCACGCATGCGCTCTCTGCCCTGCAGCAGCCAGCACCCCGTCCACCCACTGCAGCCTCCGCCTCCCGCACACGAGTACGCACCTTGTTCCTCATCTCCTGGACCTCTTTCGGGTTTGTGTTCAATGGAACAAACAGGTTAGGGACAGCAGAGGTGGAAGTTCTATGTCCATCCTCTTTAGTCCACTGTAATATCAAGAAGAGTTACAATGTCAGAATTGGGACGGCAACAGGTGGCACCAAGTACCCAATCTGTCCAACTGATCTCACATCTGGTCATGCACTGAGCATCACAGAGGATGAACCAATGACCATACCCTGTGCCACCGCAGCGGCTGGAGGGGGCAGGAGCATGTCCAGACCGAAACCAGGAATGGCGGAGGCCAGAGTCGTGACGACCGGCCAGAGCCACTGAGAAAGCCCCGCTGAAATGGGGGGTCTCACATGGACTGACGAGAGCTGAGCCCCTAACTCCCGCAGACGAGCCAGTGGGGCCCTTCAGAGCACATTGGTTCACCGCTCTGAGCATCGTCAACACCACAGCCAGCGGGAAGCATGAGATGACAGGGTCATGGAAAGCAATGTGATGTGCTACCCAGAGGGAGGGAAGACTCGCATTGGAAGGCAAGAGTGGGCGTCACCAAAGTGCTGCATTAAAATAAACTACCGCGCCAGAATGCACTGTTTGCATAGCTATTCCAGCCCAAGAAAATCATGGAATGAACGCTTAGGCACCTGGGGAAGATTTGGTGATGTCGAATATTTTATATAACTTCATACTCTGAGTGTTACAAAAATATCCCACAGGAGCTCGGAGCGCTGGGATCCTTATTAGAAGGCCGTCTTAGGCAGCGGGCACACTGCCAGCACCCTGCGCCTTTCACTTTTTTTTTTAATTTCCAATCAAATGTGACCATTTTCATCACATTGTAATTGGGAGGATGAGGAGGCGCTGAGTGTTAAAACAAGCCCACCTCCGAGAGCAAATGTTATTCTTTTCAGGGTGTTTTCAAGAGGCACTAAGAGAGCCATAACCGTAAGACTTGGAGAAGCCACGGGAGCGGATGCTCAGCCACTGCGGGGAGCGCGATGGGCGTGCGCTGGGAGGTACTCACTGACGGCATCTTCAGATTAAACAACTCCAGCCTTTCATTAAAGATAATTTCCATCAAAACGGGAAAACGGCAACCTCAGGAGCGTGACACTATTACTGTAAGTGAACATACCCACCTGGGCGCAGGCACGGGTGTGTCAATCCAGAACAAGAAACACATCGCAATGCTGCCCAGGGCCTCCCTCCACACACACTGACTAACATGCCCGACTCGCTTCACACTTTTTCACGCTAAGAGTACACGTAGCTCAAAGCTGCTGCCACACACACACTTCGGGAAAACTCGGCACAGCCTCCGGCACATGTAGTGACAGCAGCGGTGTCGTTCGGGCCCACTCCCCTGAACAAGCAACATCAGTAAAAACGAAACAAAGGCCACGAGAAAAGAAAAAAAGGGAGAGAGGGGCAGAGGGGAAGGAGGGGGGACCGGGGGCAAGAAGGAGAGGAGGCCGGGCTCAGCACTGGGCCTCTGCCCGTGTGGGCGGCGTGTCGGCTCAGGGGCACAGAGGCTCTCACCACCTGTGCGCCAGGAAAACGCCAGCCACCTGGAGACACGTCTACGAATAAGAGCGTTAGGAGGGAGCCGTTTGCTGCCTGGGGGCCACCGAGTCTGGGCCCGTCTCGCCTGCGCTACACACCACCGTGCAGCGGTGGGTCTGTGCCCGCTTCCGTGTGCGCGCAGGACTCCACCGCAGGAGCACGGCTGT